TTTTTTGCATCCCATCGGCTCGGTGTAAGGCAAAACTTTACGGCGGCGATGCGATCTATCAAACCTTAACCCAGAGCCAAGCACTATAATCATTTATTAAATTACCCTGACAGAACTTTTTACTCTGGAAATTGCGGCCTGAAATATTATGTTTGCCGTATGACCATTTAGGTCCTCAATCAGTTACGGAGGTACAATCTGACAAACATTATTTTGATTTATCTGTGCTAATTAAAATATACATACTCGAATATGAAATTTATTTAATGCTACTGGTTATCTCGTACATTAATTAGGTGAAACATCATACATTTATTTTTATCTTATCTACAACTACTAATTATTATTATTCGGGTAGGTATACCATTTTATTTTAGCTTGAATGCCTTGTTGATATAAGTTAAATGCTAAATACTTTCTAATTCGAAGGTAAGGATGTTTAAAAAATAAACTTTATCTACCTCCTATTTTGCCTTGCGACTTTCTGGCATGGCCCGATTAAGTTTTCGGTTATTACTAAACGTAGTTCGTAGTTCGTTTACTAATGAACTAAATTTTCTACGAAAACGCAATTCATAATAGCACACAAATTTTAAATCAACAAGAAAGTTAGTTACCAAGAAAACCTTTACATTACTACTCTTAATTTCTTGGAAAGTAAAGAAACGACAACAATTTGGGCAATGCCTTTGATATCCAAAAGAAAACTTTCCCGATCAAAATCTCCAATCAAATAAATATTATTTTCCACTAAAACTGACCGTGTGGCACAAAATTGGAATGCAAAAAATCGAGTTGTCAAACTCAACATTTCAACAATTACCAAACGCGGCACACGCTAATTTTGATTCCTAAAAATTTATTGCAGCGTTCCTCGTATTTTTCGGCAAATCGAATCTATGCAAATTAAATCTACTTTGACCATCGTAGATTAAATTTCGAATGATAAACGTTCGATATGAGCTCGGCTCGGCTCGGAAGTTTTTGATAATTTAAAAAGTAAATAGCTATTATTTATTTCAAAGGGCTGGCTGTTTTACAATAAAATGAATGCATAATGAGTATACACAATTTTCTATTTGCCTGCATTCTGAAAATTCTGTCTCAAAATGCAATTCAAAGTACAATGTTTCTAACTATACTACAATCATCAAGGTTCAAGTTAATTCTTCAACAATCCGGATTTGCAATTATTATCATTGCCTATACAGGGTTTCCACTCCTGACGGCAGGTGACCCTCCAACAAGGTGAAGTATGGATCCTATAAATATAGTGGTTCCGATAACACAGCCCTGTTTAGCGCCTATAGTTATTTGAAAAGACTCTCCTTGTCCATCCTTGCTTAGGACGGTTGCATCCATTATGCAGCAGGCGAAGTATCTGGATGTATTTTTGCGAACACTCAACCTTTGCCAATATCTGCCAAAGGGCTTCTCTGCTGACCGAATGAACTTCACCTCAAGGCGCAACTGTCCAACTATACTTCTACAGCTCAGGAAATTCAAGACTCTTTTGGAACTTTCCATCCTATGCATTTCGAAGGCGTTTGGCTTGAATATTCTAAACATATAACAAAGCCAAAAAAAATGTATCGACAATTATTATTATTTAAACACAATTACCTAAAGCATTACAGAATCTCTTCACCTGCATCAATATGTTTAATCGTCTAGCTATATTATTATTTTTATGTGCGTTCAACAGACGGTTATTGTAATGAATATCTGAAAGGTTACGATTTATTAAAACAAATTACAGTGCATCAATTCAAAATAGTTTGTAACAGCTGCAATAACTTTTTCCTCTTGGAGCCCTAATAACGGGTTTCATTGGAAACTTCAAACCTGTGATAACCATCAAACTGCCAAAACACTAAACAACAAACCGCTAGTTTAAGTAATAAATAAAGTAATAAATAAGGCAATTTGCGGTTTTATAATGTACCTGGCTTCTCTTATTAGCCGCTAAAGTTTCCACTTCCATCCACCCATTTTCATTTCTATGCAGTTTAGTACAATAATAGACAGACACAGTGACGGACTGGCCGCGCCCTTAAGATTTAGCGCCCCGTCGGCATTGTTTAGTTATAAAATATAAATAATATCAAATTAAGGTTTAAAAATATTTTTTAATAAATTCGGAATATCGATTACTTATTAATTTAGTGCTCTCATATTAATAAGAATTTCGAGTTTCCATTTAAGTTTTATATTAAATTCTGAGACTTTTACCGCGCCCGATAGAGGAAGTCTCTGTGAATTAGGTTAGGGTTGTATTCCAACCGTCATGCTATTCTTGTGCCGAGAGCCTTCCGCCCGACAAGCACCATCTTGCTCGTGCCTTGCGCTCTCCTCGTGTATTCGTTCTAGTGAAGATTATAGAGCAGATTACCAGTGCAACAGTTTGCAAGTCTTGCAAAAACTGTATTTATTGCAGTTACAGGCTATCAATCAAATTCAATCTTAGAACCAGTTTGACACGGTCCAAGTGCTTGGTCGAAGTGTTCTTAGATGAGAATTTGGATCAAGTTGGAAGCACGCTTACTTACTTGGATGAACAGTTGGTACCATCCCAGTATCGTCCAAGTGAAGCGCGCGTAGCGTCCAAGGGTACTTGATTCTCGTACACTTGGACCGTGTCAACCTTCACGCATATGCTTATCCAATACTTTCGAAAGCTTACAAATATTTGTCGACTATCAGGTGCAAATTAGTTGTGATCGAAGCTCAAAAAGCTGAATAATATTTAAATCAATTACGAAGTAACCCAAATCACAACAACCTGGAAGTGTTTATGATAATGTCTGTGGAAAAAAATTCACTTATGTCGTTGGACAATAACGAAATTATCAATAATGTTGCTAAAACTAGCGAAAACCTCAATAAAATGTTGATTTTTTTCTTGGAAAACGAATAAAGGTTCGGTAATTTATTCTTGTCGATAACATGATTAGCCTAACTTTCAACGAGTAGGTATAGGGTCACTTGAGCCTGGGAACTTTTTCGATACCGTGGGAAAATCGGTGAATTTTGCTGGTTTTGTACTGGTTTTCACGGTTTTAAGCTGAATAAGCTGTTTTTTTGCTGGATTTTCTGGTTTTCACTGTTGTTTGCTGGTATAGCAGATTTTGGGCCGAATTTTACAAAACCAGCTAAACCGACATAAATCCAGTGAAAAACAGTGAAAATCAGCACAAAACCAGTGAAAACTAGCACAAAATCAGCTAAACCAGCATAAAACCAGTACAAAGCCGATTTTCCCACGGTATCGAGAAAGTTCCCAGGTTCAAGTGACCCTATACAGGGTGTCCCACGGTGGATAGCGTATTAGACGTTTATGGAAAACTAAAAAGCGGATTATTTTGAAAATTTGGTAACCGGGATAAACGACCATAATCTACACTTTAAAAATATTTTTGTTTATGCGATGTTGCCGCTTCTACTCTAAACCAGTTGCATCATCGCTATTTTAGATGGAACACCCTGTATCTGATTGAATATTTGGATTCTACGTAAAATTCTGAGCAGATTTCCCTATGCCTAAAATCAACTGTTTTGGAAATATTGACAGTTGAAAATTGACTTTTTGCAACTTTGACAGGCTGTAAAACCTGAACGATTAATTTTAGAGGAAAACCTATTTTACATTCCTATCTTAGAATTATATAAACTATCATTTGACACCAAATTTGAATTTGACCAGAGATTAAATTTAATCGGAATTTTCAATTATGGATTAAATTCAAAGTTGGTATCAAATGATAATTTATAAAAATCTAAAACAGGAATGTAAAATTGGTTTTCCTCTAAAATTAACCGTTCAGGTTTTACAGCCTGTCAAAGTTGCAAAAAGTCAATTTTCAACTATCAATATTTCCAAAACAGTTGAACTTAGGTATAGGGTATATCACATGAAATCTGCTCAGAATTTTATCTAGAATCCGAATATCCAATCACATACAGGTTGTTCCATTTGAAATGGCAATGTTGCCACTGGTTTAGAGTAGAAGCGGCAACACCTCATAAACAAAAATATTTTTAAAGTGTATATCCCGGCAGCCAAGTTTTCAAAATGATCCGATTTTCAGTTTTCCATTAACGTCTAATACGCCATCCACCGTGGGACACCTTGTACTTACTTCAACTTTTTCTTGGTGATGGCGCCCCATGTAGAAAATCGCCCTCCGTAAATTCAGAACCCATTCCGTCCCTGGACAGACAGACATACCATCCCCTATTTACGCTCGAGTGAAGTTGTTTTGTAGGCCAGTAGTTGGGCAAAACAATTACAAACTTGAATATTTCTTAGATAGTTTTAGTCGCTTGTAATTCAGGGATAGTTAATTGGCGGGTCCAATGTCCAACGTAGTACTTTTTTGTTCTAATTGTTATCGCTCACGTTTTGAAGCCACAACTGTAGAAATAAGAAAACCTTTTAATGACAATTAAATCAATATCGAAAACAAGGTCCTAAACAATGGTTTTTCACGATTTTTCTGAAAACAAATTATAACTACTGGTTAATGAGGTTTGTTTCTGGAAAATTGAACTTATTAAAGCCTTTTTAATTAGCTAGTCGTTGAGGTTTGATGAAAAATTTAATTGAGGGGTTGAACTTTTGACTAATAATTATGTCGAAAATCTTTTGTTGTGCGAGTTGAGAGAGGTTTATGAAAAGTATTTTTTTTTTTTTGAATTTAAATAAGTCGTTACGTTGTATCAAGTAATCATCATTTTGCAGTCAAATGCCATGGATAAATGAGTGATTATTCATAACCATGTCAGGATTTCAAAAAATTTGTGAGCCAAAAGTAAGATTTTCTTTTGGCTTTTTTTTTCTCATTTAAATTGACATTTGGAGATGGTATTTGACTGAGTTCTGCTCTATCAATTAGGTGAGGTCAAAAATTAGAGAACAGTTTCGGGATTTGAAATCGAAGTCGAATACGTCGGGAAAAATATCCAAATTATGCCTCTAATTACAAAATTTTTATTTTCAGAACTTGTTGAGTTCGACCCCACAACCGCTTCCCGAATACAAAACGGCGGCCGCAAAGAAAAGCCGATTCATTATTTCGCATTACGGCGTTTTCAAGAATGCCTGGGACTGGCTCATTTTGATTGCCACTTTTTACGTGGCAGTTGTTGTCCCGTACAACGCGAGCTTTCTCAGACCGGAAACCGAAAGGCCGTCGGTTATTATGGACGTTTTCGTTGAAGCACTTTTCTTTATTGGTAAGTACCGAGACTATAAAACGTACATTCATAAAATATCATGCTATGCTTCTATAAAGATGGGAGCGGAGAAATTCCAGATTTTTAACAAGGTGATGATATAAAGTTGAAGAAAAGGGATAGAATTACCAATAAAATGTTCAATAAAGGCAATTCGAATCAGCTGATAATTTAAGATGGCGACGTGGGCATAACAAACGTCACGACCGTGAAGGTGCCTTTTCCTTCAATTCCAATTGATTGCAATTTAAATGGGAATTGAATGTAAACGTGCCTTTACGGTTGTCAGGTGTGTTATTCCCACGGTGCCATATTGAATTTAGAGAACCTCAAATCGCCCTATAGAATATAACCTCACTTTCAGTGCTATTTGCGTAGTGTTTTGACATTAAAAGTAAAAGTGCTTAGGGCTTGGAATTTCAAATCTATTTATTTTCTATTTTCCATTATTTTTATTTCTAAAAGTATATGCATATGTATTCATTTATTCTGCATCAAAATGTAGATTGTATTTCTCTATCCAATTTTTTATTTCTAGAAAGTTTTCGGCCTCTGTTGGCGTGGCACTCGAAATAACACCAAAATAATATAAATCTGCTCCCATTTGCCACCGGCAAATTTGTATTCTATGCAGCTAAAGGAAGCTCAATTGAATTGATTAACACTAAACGAGCATACAAAATCATTTTCAAAATAGAGGAGTATATTATTTACGGAATAACATATTATCCATAGCAAATTTTTGGCGGTCCACTATTTCAGCTTAAAAGCTTTTCAATTTCAAAGTTCGAAGAATAAACGATCAATAAATCAGATTTGTGTCCTAAAAGGATTTTGAGATAAAAATTCAAATAGCGCTATAGTAAGCCTTTTCAAGGTAATTTAATACCCGAGAATTTTCTAATGTAAAAAGGTAGATAATTTAATTTTCATTTAGAATCCTACAGCATGAAATTGAGATTTTATTTAATCCGGAATTTTCACAATCCGAAATAAATTATCACCGCTAGGTGATGCAAAATACCTACCTATACATACGTCCAATAAATAAATGTAAATTTTTTTCAGATAAACCCATATTAAGCTTTTGTTAACATAATTCACGTTATTTCGCAGCGACAATCCATTCGCTGAAAATACACTCGTTTCTTTTTTCGAATATTGGATTTGATATGCCAATGCTACAGTGTGGCGGAAGTTGATTCTAATTTAAATTTAAATCGACTCCAGAGCGTGCAGTGATTAAGGTCACATAATGTTTTCCATAACACAATTGAGTCATTTATTGCGCCTCCTGTTAAGGTCACCTTAGTTTGTTTGATACGCAGGAATTTTCTTGGCAATTGGGAGAATATAGGATGAGCAGCATCTCATTTTTATCGGGACAACAAAATTTCTATTTAGTTTTCCTTAGACTTTTATTCTGAAACTTTCCGAACAACTGAACGTTTTTCAAAAATTTATATGATCGAGGAGTTACGGCTTCTGCCAATTGAACAAGTTATATCGAAAGAAAGTTTCAACTAGTGGAAACCTTTGGAATTTTCAATTTTTTAATTTTGAATACAAAATTCAATCTTTTATTTTGACTAACGTCTCCTTTTTTTGTTTAGATTTGTATATTCTACACATAATCTGATTTTGTCGCCTTTTTTTTTAGCAGCCACAATAGGTGAACAGTGAACACCAATCGATCGATAGGCTAATCTACTTTATCAATTATTCCAGCATTCATTAATTTATTTAATTCTTGACGAGCTTTTTCCATTAGAGGCATTGTAATCCGTCTTGATACACATATATTATAAGGCTCTACATTTTCAGCTAATTTTATATTATACTCGAAATCTTCAATTCCTCCAATGGCTTCAAATGAGTTTGGAAATAAATCAGTTAAGTATGAAATTACCGTATCTAATTAATAGACCAAAAATAAATTAAACTTGAGAAAAAAAAGTTTTTTCCCAATTAAAATATTTGGTCCCAAAACTGACACTATGATAGAATTCAAATTGAAAGATAAAATCACCTCTTTGAAGAGCCTTTACTAAACACTGTGCGGCAAATGAATTGGAGAATCAGAAAAGCGGGTCGAGAACTCGTTGAGATTTTCCAATTTATTTTTCCGGCGACAACTGGCAAGAGGAACCATCCAATAAATACTGCTTGAAGCCCATTGACTATCTTTTAGTACCGGGGTTGAGAGTCGAGTAAATCGAATGTCTCCAACCCTCCGGTATTTCTTGCTGTTTTTCCAATGGTTCTCGAGTTACATCAACCTACCCTATCCACACTCGTGATCTAGTTTGATGGCTCTCCAACAGAGTTCGCTAGTTACATGATGTAAAATTAATAATTGGACATTTAACGTTTTCCCCTTCAATTGAAAATCTTTCCCTTTTCTTCTAATTCTGTCTTCTATTCTAATTTCTAACCTAATCAAGTGAATCAAGAAGTTCCCTAATGTCTATTATAACTATCAAGGGTGTAAAATGAATAAGCTATCCTCTACTAACTTATTCATGGAATAATTGAGTAATTCGCTCCTATGTTAACTTACTCACATATATCTTAATTATCACTAAACATTTATTACCTTACAGTTCACATTTCACCTATTATCCTTGATAATTTTATTATTGAACATTTTATGTTATTGTATCTCAAAAAATCTAGCTCATGTAATTATTGTTTCCTTTCACCCACGCATGCTTCGAATATAATTCTTTTCAGCAACGGTATCAGTTATCTGACATCTGGGTTTGTCATAAAACGTGGGTATTCAGAAGATTATCCTTGACTTTGAATCAGTTATTACAACCACATGTGATCCGGTACAACAGCAGATTAGTTTTTATCTAAGGAAACATAAATTTTGCCTATATATTTGTCAATTTCGGGTTATAGCCAAATAATCTTGAAACTATAAAATTCGATACCTTCTCGACTTTTAGGTGATTTTGTCCTCGACCAGATTAGTTCGTTCCCAGAAACTCCATAAAAACCTTTACATTACTGCTCTATTAATTTCTTGGAACGTAAAGAAACGACAACATTTTTCCATTAGAGGCATTGTAATCCGTCTTGATACACATATATTATAAGGCTCTACATTTTCAGCTAATTTTATATTATACTCGAAATCTTCAATTCCTCCAATGGCTTCAAATGAATTTGGAAATAAATCAGTTAATTATGAAATAACCGTATCTAATTAATAGACCAAAAACAAATTAAATTTAAGAAAAAAAAGTTTTTTCCCAATTAAAATATTTGGTCCCAAAACTGACACTATAATAGAATTCAAATAAGAAGATAAAATCACCTCTTTGAAGAGCCTTTACTGAACACTGTGCGGCAAATGAATTGGAGGATCAGAAAAAGCGGGTCGAGAACTCGTTGAGATTTTGCGATTTATTTTTCCGGCGACAACTGGCGTTAACTGGTCTCAACGCTCGCTTAAATAAGCGAGAGGAACCATACAAAAAATACTGCTTTAGAAGCTCATTGGCTATCTTTTAGTACCCGGGTTGAGAGTCGAGAAAATCGAAGATCTTCAACCCTCCGGTATTTTTTGCTATTTTTCCAATGGTTCTCAAGTTACATCAACCTACACTATTCACACTCTTCACCCTGTGATCCAGTTTGATGGCTCTCCAACAGAGTTCGCTAGTTATATGATGTAAAATGAATAATTGGACATTTAACGTTTTCCCCTTCAATTGAAAATCTTTCCCTTTTCTTCTTATTATGTCTTCTATTCCAATTTCTAACCTAATCAAGTGAATCAAAAAGTTCCCTAATGTCTATCCTAACTTTCAAGGGTGTGAAATGAATAAGCTATCCTCTACTAACTTATTCATGGATTAATTGAGTAACTCAGTCCTTTGCTAACCTACCTACATATATCTTAATTATCACTAAACATTTATTACCTTACAGTTCACATTTCACCTATAACCCTTGATAATTTTATTATTATGTTATTGTATCCTAAAAAATCTAGCTCATGTAATTATTGTTTCCTTTCAACCACACAAGCTCCGAATATTCCTTTCAGTAACGGTATCAGTTATTTGACATCTGTGTTTGTCATAAAACGTGGGTATTCAGAAGATTATCCTTGACTTTGAATAAGTTATTACAACCACATATGTGATCCGGTACAACAGCAGATTAGTTTTTATCTAGAAAAACATTAATTTTGCCTATATATTTGTCAATTTCGAGTTACTGCCAAATAATCTTGAAACTATAAAATTCGATACCTTTTCGGCTTTTAGGTGATTTTGTCCTCAACCACATTAGGTCGTTCCCAGAAACTCCATGTGTTTATAAATCCCATTAGGGTCACATTTCAACTATCTATCTAGAGAAGCTGTCGATTCCCACGAAAGATCAACTTGAGCCGAGATTACGAATTTACTATTGATTTTGTTACAACATCAAACCGGTCGGTAACTTGATCAAAGCTTCGACTTGCCAATTTGGTAACGTGGTAAAGGTTTTCGACGTTATGTTGACGCGTGCTATTGAATGTTCAATCAGTGTTTTTTTTTTATATATTGTATATTTTTCTATGGCGTTTAAGTATTGATAAGTGTTCAAGTGTTTCAAGTGAAAAGTGAATTTGGAGTGCTCCTCATCAATAGATACACCCTAAGGCACAGAAGGGAACAGATAAGACGAATAATAACAGGGTCAACATGAGGCACTTTGGGGATTCCTCTATCCATGAGAATTTCAGAGTAGAATTAGGCTGTAGTATTCGGGAAGTTGGCTGAGAGAGTTCTCGAGCTGCTCGTGAAAGAGTCTTTTGAATCCTGGTATGAATCTAGTGTTGAAGAGTAAGCGCTTATTACAGTCACAAAGGTCTTATCAGGGAGTTGGCACTTAAGCGACAATAAGCGTTTCGGGATAATTATGTGGTGAGCGTTCTGACATATTCTGTGGTGGCCCATGTAGCTTTGCGACTAGCTCAGATAGCAAAGCCTTCTCCA